TGAATGCACGTCAGCCCCCCCCCCTTTGGTGAGTGAGGAGATGTCCAGACTTTTTTCCATGTTTCCAGAGGCCTGTCTCCACAGCTCGGAAGGTTAGTCAAGCCTTTTAATGTTGAAGCCCAGCCAGCCGAAAACTGCCTGCTTTTCCCACTTGCGAGTGGATTTTTAAAGAACCAACTCCCAGAAGGTTGAGCAGTTATAAGCTACCCACCCCCCCCACCCCATCTTCCCTTTTGAGTTTGCCTTAATTAGGGGGTGGGGAAGTGGGGTTGGGGGCCGCCTTCACGTAAAAACTGTCAAAGGAGTTGGGGGATGGGGGACCTAGAGAGAGGGGTGGAGAACTCCGGCGCAGGAAAAATTCAAAAATCGTAAAAGGAAAAGGGGGAACATGAAGCCCAGAAGTCATTGTTTCCTTTATTTCAAAGGGAAAAACCTGCCCGATTCTCATCCTTTTGATTGATTAAGGCCCTGAATACCTCGCAGCCCCAGAGTGACAGTCCTTGAATAGACTTCAGCGAATAAAGCGCAGGCAGAGCGCGGGGCTGGCACTCGGGGTGTAAAGGAGGCGAGTTCGCTGGCACTTACCAAGTTATAAATAAAGGGCTATGCACAATGGTACCTTCTCTAAGGACAGACAGCCTTTACAACACTCCTGGCGTCATATCCTGCTGGGGACACTTCAGCTCCTAGCCAAGACTTCGCTCCTTTTATTTTTCCAGCAGTTTAGTCTGAATACCATAATAAATTCCTGAGAACAAACGCAGCAGCCGGGCAAAACTTTAACATATAGACACATCTCTGCTGCCGCATTGGGGATCCATACCTCGAGATTTAGAGCTGGGGCTTCCCAGAGTGGGTTTTTCAATCAAGAGGCGGTTTTCTTCTCCCTCCCCGCCCCAGACTTCAACTAGCGAGTCCTAGGGCCTCCCCGATGGCTGCCGAAGCTCCTCACCACTCCTGCTCCCAGACCGAGAAGACAAAAGAACTTTATCAGCACACTCTGGACTCCTCCTGGGAGGAACCCCACCGGGAGGACCCCTATAACAAACCTAGGCCAAAGGGGCATTGACCAGAAGACGGAAAGCTAAACA